TTTCTAAGCTACACTGAAATAGGCTCATCAACTAGCAGTGATTAAACCTCAAAAAATGAAGGACACTGATCTCACCTCCTACACCAACACCTTTGATAAACTCAGTCAGCAGTTAGGCATCAATGATGAAACAAAATTAAGCCTATTCATTAAAGGACTAAAGCCCCACCTACGAGATGCTCTTAATTTAAAGCAACCGTCTGATTATCAAGCCGCAGTAGCTTTTGCTAAGCTCCAAGACTCAATCGCATCGGATTCAGCTATATCTCGATTGGAGGCTAAGCTGGATGCCTTACTGAATCCCAATAAACAACCAGTTATAGCTACTACCTACCGCGAATACCCCGACATAATTCAATGTGTTGATGGATTAAAAACAGAAACAAACTTGTTAAATAAAAACCATCCTCATCCCCAGTATAAAAAGTTTCAACTGACCGGTCGTAACCTATATACCAGCGATGGACAAGTTATATGTAATAGGTGCTTGAGAGTAGAACACGCCCAAAGATCATACCCTGAACAAGTTTCCTCATTATCGAGAAAAACAGAGTATCAACCTATGTCGCTGCAACAAAACCAACAGAACCATTACCCTCAAAACTCAACTAGATTTGGTAATACCTTTTTCCAAAAGGGACAATCTCAAAGCATTATACAAGGAAATAGACAGTATTCAGATAACCGAATACCTTCACTGTACATTAATACTCTCGAATTGGATCCGGAAGAGGTCCCTGGTTCAGAAACTTGGGAAAAGTTACATAATTTAGGAGTACTTATTCTAATGGACACTGGTGCCAGGTGCAGTGTATTAGATAAAATCATTTTTGAAAAAATTAAAAATCAAGTTGGTAAACCACTACCTTATTATGGGCTCTGAAAACGGCTAATGGAACGCCACTTCATATCCTGGGTAAATTGGCCCTTTTGATATTGGAGGTAGTATATTTAAACATGAAATGCTAATAGCTTGAAGATTTAACCCATCCAGTAATTTTAGGGTATGATTTTATGAGTCAATTTAAAGTTGGGCTGGACTGTGGAAATCATCTAATTACATTTCAAGGAAGATTTGATGTACCTTTGATTACAAAACATATCGACGATAAATTCTACACAGGAGAAGTTTATGAAGATATGCCGATCTGCCATAAAGCTCGAATTAACAAATTTGATGAAAAGTGGGCAGCTAAACCTAAAACTCAGATTGAAGATTATTTCCTTGATACCCAGCTTAGGTATTAAGGAAATAATCTTCAATCTAAAGGTGGTTTCCACTTATCTGTTTTTTCACGGGAACGGGAAAGGGAAGGGAAAAATAATCACATGGGCATGCGTATTATAAGTTTTAATTTGTCCAAATAAAACTACGCATGCTCACGTGATTATTTTTCACTTTCCTATCCCGTTCCCATAGAAAAAGGGATGAGTGGAAACTCACCTTAAAGTTGTCAATTCCAATGGGAAAACACAACAACAAAAGAAAAGAAAAAATAAAAGACCAAAAGATAGATTGCCACAAAGATCATTTATCGATGTACAGAAGATGGTGATTCCAACTCTTATTTATTAACGATAACAACAGGTATATATATTGGCGAAGTTTTTGATTGTAAAAGAGTACAACCAATAGGGATTTATAAACTTCCGACAATCACTTCTTGTAAGCACAATATGCACTCATTAAATGAATCCGTAAGAACATTCACTGCAGACGTATACGCATACTGACTTCAAACCACAACTATACCGTTATATCACTGCTACGCTGAAAAAGTCACCCTCAAGTGTCATTCTAATTTCCTTAACCAAAAAACTAAGTACCATATTCATAGTTCATAAAAATAACAGTACCAGCAGGATAATGTTTTTTGGCTATGAACACAAAAATATCACGCTACGGGGCATTACAAGAAATAAGCCCCGGTACATGGAAAACCGTTGTGTCTGACAATTTTCATTGTGCATAGATGTGCACAGAAACAGCAGAATATACCCATTTCTCTATGATTAAATATGAATGTGAAATTACAGGACAAGTTGTAGCGCTGGAACAGTATATCACAAAAAGTATGTGCTACTATTTTATGCGGGGATATGTTCCTAGTGAATGGCCACAATCAGTTATAGATTGGAGTTCAAGTTAAACACGATGAAGAAGTCAGGAAAAGGATAGGTACATACCCTATTGAGCAGATTGGAGAATTTATCTTGATCAAAAGCCTAAAAGTTGGTGGGGCAATACAGCTATCAGAACAAAAGGGTAATATGCTTACTTGAACAAAAGGGTAACACAATAATAGCTATTTTGGAAGCACATATTACCGTCGCCCTCATGACTCCGAAAATGAATATGATAAGTTCCTGGGAGCAAATGCGGATTATGCAGACCAAAATTTCCCATATTCATCAGTGGATGATTTTCCTACAACATCAGCGGAATGGATACACCAATCTTCGGGTGTGACTGATGAGTCAGCCGGAAATGCTCTGTTATTGTCAAAGTGTGTAAATTATACTAGATATGCCATCAACTATGCCCAGAAGATAGGCAACTTCTGCTTTGAGCACATCCCTGTAACTTTACCAAATTCAAATATCACTTATTTTTTGGAAGTTAATGAATGGAAGTTAATAAGGACCAGTCTTCGAATCCCTTGTAACCTCAGACCTAAACACACCTACCTACAAGTGACAGCCTTTGGACGAGTTAAAATTGTTGGGACCCAGCTAGATAACGTTCTAAGTTCAAAGACCAATTTTTCGCATTCAAAGCTATAGTAAGGATATTTTAGTCGATAAACCGCAACGCCTTTCACTGTATACGGTCCTACAACTGATATCCGGTTTGCATGAAACGTTACAAACACTTAAATAAATTAGTGATACAAATGGAGGAGATACATTGACAAGCATTGGTATGGCCTTAGGCAGTGCTCTACAAGCTAAAGCAAGTGGGGGAGTCAAATAATAAAAGCGATTGGAGGAGCCATTGAGGACTCATTAAAAGGTGTTTCCGATTTAGGCGAAAAACTAGTGTTGCTTCATCTTTAGTATTAAAGGCCGCAGGAGGAGCTGTAAAAGATGTTGGAGAAGGCACGGGCTCCTTTTTCCATAAATTTCTAGGTGGTATCAGTGGATCCATTTTGTGGGCAGCAGTACTTCTTATTGTAATATATTTAATCTTGAATAAACCCAATTTAAATTATGCTTTGCTTTGTCTAAAACCGTTTCAAAAACACTTGGAAAATGAGGCTATATTACTGCCACAACAAGATTAGTCGATGTCAATGTCCCCTAAAGGAAAAAGACGTTCCACACATGTTTGCAAATGTCCAGCTCCATAGAGACTAGACATTTGCAAACATGCACGAACACATAGCATTTGGCATAAACATTGTTTATCAACCAACCTGTTTATTACCCGTAGACGCATCTAGCCTCTGCTTAAGATATAAAAACAGCTGTTGGAATATAGTTGAAATATTGTTGGGATTTAGATAAGGATATAGTTAAAGTAGAGAGAAAGTCATGGGTAAAGTCAAGATCGAAGTCGAGGCTGAGATTAGTGGTCAGTCAAAAGAATTGGTGAACTATAAGAAGCCACAATAGATTAATTAATTTAAAGATGAACTGGTTAAAGAATATTATAAATTGTATTTGTATATGCTAATCAGTTATATTTTATGTTTAAATGAAAGTTACCCTGTAACAGTTGGAGTAATCTATTGCGTACTATTTTTATATTAACTAACTGCGTAACAAAATCATGTTTAACTAATCATGTTTAACTATTCATGTTTAACTAATCATGTTCAACTATTCATGTTTAACTTTTCATATTTAACAAATCATGTTTAACTGATCATGTTTAACTATTCATGTTTAACAAATCATGTTTAATTAAAAATTACAATTTAAAAAAAAAGTTATATAATGACAACAGCTGTGATCTACAAAATAAATGGATTGCGTAGGAAAGCTGTGATCAACAAAATAAATGGTTTATAAAGGAAAGCCTTTTTCAATTAAATTTAATGATAACTTCAACATCAAAATCATTGTCACCATCAAATTGCTAATATTATTCTTTTATCTTAGTAAAATCAAACTGCAAAATAATATGTCTTGCAAAATTTACTTTCACTTTCTCTTTGCGACATCAAAAGCAAAATTTTTGATGTTTTGTTTTTATTCTATAATTTTGACATTTAATCTGTCTTTAAAAAAAATCCTAATATATACATATATAAGATTTATATATATATGTATATATATATATATATATATATATATAAATATATATATATATATATATATATATATATATATATATATATATATATATATACATATATATATATATATATATATATATATATATATATATATATATATATATATATATATATATATATATATATATATAGGATTTTTTTACCTCTCATAATATGCATATATTGGGTTTTTATTAAAACACATTCCAGCTAGTATATATACATAATATTAATAGAAAAAATATATATATTTATATGTATACACATACATATAAATATATATAACTATGAATGCATGTTTAGATAAGCACTTTAAAGTCACACTGAAATAGTCTGCTGCTGGGGCTTCAGTACATATATTAACTATCTTATAGTCTGTTTCTGCAAAGAAGGATCGCAACAAAAACCAAGGATTTGGCATTGAGTAGCAATCTTTTCTTTTATTATTCTTTATTTATTTTATTTTTTTTCTAAAAATTGCTGTATGCTATAAAGAAAAACAAGTAACAATTTTCATCAGTTCATATTAACTTCCAGCAATGTCATATGAACTGATGTAAAACTTTCTAAGCAATATTTTACCTGGCTTACAAGTACAAAGACAAAAAAATGTTTTTCCAACTTTGTAAATTCAAGAAAACACAAAGTAACAAAGACTGTGAAAGCATAATTTTAAAAACAGATATGTAAAACACGATTTTTAGGAAAAAAAATGCTAACCTCTTCAGTTAATGAGCTGACATTAACAACATAAATGCTACTTGTGTCTGATGAAACATCATCTGCTATAACATCTTCTAACGAGTATTTATCTTTGAACAAATGAACACAAGTTTGACAACATCTAATCTTTTTTCTAAAACAAGTTGAATAAAATGCATAACAAACTTTTTTTTAAACAAACTTTTTTTTAAACGCACCAAATATGAAAAGTACAAGTGCCTAAAAAAAAAACTTATTTTATGATTTTTCAAGAAACTGTTATTCATTCTTATATTTAATTTTTATTTTATTTATTTTATTCTTAATTTCAATTTTATCTCATTATTAAATTAAAAATCAAATTAACAATAATTTTTATATTATCGAAGTAAAAAATAAAAACCTGCTGAATTGTGTTTGAATTTTTTCATTAGAGCATACTTTACAGAATGTACCACAACACAATCGACAATGATGCTGATAAAAATTTTAAATTGACAAAATAAGTTTAAAATTTTTGAATAAATAAATAAAATATAAACAAATAAATAAATAAAAATTTCCAAATAAAATTTAGTATATAAATACATATTTATTAAGCATTAGGGAGGCCCAGAAAACAACATTTTTTAAAATTTAATGAGTAAATAATTTTAAACTTTAATTATTTAAAAGAATTTTTTTTTTAAATAATATATTAGAATATGAAAACTTTTCTATGTACTTTGAATTTAGATTTTTACTAAATTTTTATTCTTGAATATTAATAAATTGAAAATGCATTTTAGTTAAAAATTATTTTTGAAAATTATATTTGAAAAATTATTTTAGTCAAAAATTAATTTTTGTAACTTTTGAAAAAACAAAGATGAATTAAACAGTAAGGTTTAAGTAAAAAACCATTGAATGCAAAAAATTTAAATTTAATAAAATAAAAAGTCACTATATTCTTGTTAATATACCTTTTTTCTTTTTTTTTTCTTTCCAAAAACAAGTTAACCTGAGCTTTAAAACTAACTATAACTATGAGGTATACAGAGAAAATTAACTGTGAAAACATCCAAGACATGCAACCCTAAGTTTTAGATTTAACTGATTTTTACGCCACTCAAAGATTTTAATAAGTTATGAACATCCTTAAAATTAAAAAAGAGAAAGTGAATCGTTAGAAGAACCAGCCCAAATATGACAACAGTATTCCATACAGGGACGAATAAGAGATTTGTAGAGGTAGAGAATAGAATCAGAAGTAAGAAAATGGCGAGCGCGATAAAGAGAAGCAACCTTAGCAGAAGCTAATTTAGCAATCGATTGTATATATGGTTTCAATGAAAGGTCAGAAGTAAGCGATAATCCAAGAAGACGTAAAGAGGAGGACTCAGTAAGAGGATTGCCATTCATTAATATAGGAATGTTGACCATATTACGGTAGTTGTTTGCAATAAACAACTGTGTTTTGTTAGAGTTGAAATTCACAAGCCACTGTGAACCCCAATCTATTACTAAAGTGAGATCGGATTCAGGATCAGCTGCTTGGTCTAGGCAATCGAAAAAAGAAGACCCCAGAAGTTACTGGAAATAAAGAAGAGTGTTGGCCTTCAAGGATGACTTTAATAAACCAGTTAGAAAGAAATGATTTGATAATCTCAAAAACTTTCCCAGAAACACCATATGAAGCAAGCTTATGGAGAAGACCAGCATGCCAAACTTTGTCAAAAGCTTTAGATATGTCGAGAGCAATAGCCCTAGCCTCACCGCCTCCATCTAATGCATAATAAAATCTTTCAGTTACAGCAGTTAGCAAGTCAGCCGTAGAGCGAGAGGATCGAAAACCGTATTGATTGTCTGACAGTAGTTTATTTGACTCAAGATGAGATGTGAGGAATTTGTTGATCAAAGACTCAAAGACCTTGCTAATAACAAAAAGAAGACTGATCGGACAATAATTGGAGGGGTCAGAATTTTCTCCAGAGTTTTTGAATATTGGAACCACAGATGCCATTTTCCAACAAGCAGGAAAACAAGACTCAGTCAAACACTTGTTAAATAGTTTAGAGAGAATTGAAGAAAGTTCTGGAGAACAATTCTGCAAGACTGTGACAGGAATGTTGTCTGGACCACAAGCTGTAGACGAGTTTAATTGAGATATGACTTTAGCAACAGAAGCCGGAGTGAGTTGAATGTCTAACAATGGGTCAACCTGTTTGACTGGAATGGAAGGAAGAGAATGTCCATAAGATTCAAGAGTGAAATTAGAAGAAAAGTTCTTTGCAAACAGTTCTGCCTTATCCCTAGGAGAGGTAACAAGATCAGTCCCATGAATGAGAGATGGAATGTTAGATCTCCCCTTGTTAACAATGCTGTTGAAGATTTTCCAAAAGTCTTTAGAGCCTAACTTCTGTGATAAGATGCGAGATTTAGTGAACTGAGAATAATGGAATTTAGCATCAGAAAGCACCTTTTTACATCGATTTCTTGTGTTCATATTAAATATAATGTTAAAAAAAAAGGTTTGAACCAAGTTTTTTTGATTGAAAATAAATAATGAATGCATATCAAGAAAAACTAATGTTGTTATTTTAGCCAAAGCTCGCCTTCTCCATTTTTTTTAATAACTTGGAGTCTTTTAATTATAGGTCGCAATCTACAGACTTTGGCGATTCCTTTGAAGCGCGTTTAATTCATAAAAGTTTTAGCATTTGACGTCAGTAGATTTTTAACAAAAGAAAAGTGTAATTAAATAAAGCTGCGTTTTTCTATTTTAATTAAGAAAAAAAAATTTTAACATAAAGCAAAACAACTTTTACAATAAATTTTTGTAAAAATCAAAAATAATAAAAGCTTTTTATTTCATAAGAGGATTTTTTTTTTACCAATATCTTAATAATTTTTAGATTTATTTATCTTACTTATAATTCTTTCGTTTTTAAATTAAAACAAATATTAAATCTTTACTTACGAATCTTATGATTTTCATACGAGTGTTTAACATTATATAGAACGTTATGTATACAGTCTCTCGTTTTTGTGCAAGAGAGCCCAGTATTATATATTCTGAATCTTACTTATTTTTATTTAAACAATGGGAACTTTTTTCTAACTTCTCTGGTTATTTTTACGCTATGATATTTTTTGTTTTCTTGTCGAAAAAAAGTATTAACAATTAATTTCATAAACTGACAGTATTAATTAGAGATATTTAATGAATTGTTAATTTTTTTTTATTATAAAATTTTTTTGATTACACTTATTTATTTTCAATTGCTAAATTTGCTAAGTTGGATACGGATAAAAAGGAAATATCATTTTATTTTACATTTGATTTTTGATAATGAAACTTTTAAAATGTCGGCAACTCCTTACCAATTAGAACCTGTTAAGGTTATGAAAAAAAAGTACAAGAATACACTAAACAATACAGTTGACAGTAGTATCAGATATGAAAATTTGTGAAAGGATATGTGAGGTCCTGGTTTTGCATTAAAAGTACAATTAATAGCAACACAAGTCGGCGTTATAAATTTTGATTATAAGTTTACTGTTCAATATTTTATAACCATCAAATAAAAAACATGAAGTTTGTATATTTTCGCCCGTTTTATATAACAAATATTTAACAAAAATACGGACAAACTATTATTAATTAACGCAATAATTAACACATTTTGACAATTTAAATTATCATTTATCTTGAATTATTGCCATTAATTAATAATGGCAATAATTCAAGATAAATGATAATTTAAATTGTCAAAATGTCATAACGCACATTAAAAAACATATTATATTTGGTATTTGCCAATTTATGTGTCGTATTTGGCATTTGTCTCTTTACATGAAAAATTAAAAAAAATTTAAAACACAACAAATAGAAATTTTCAAGCAATTTTCTCTTCCAATTCTCATTTATTCAAAGAAAAGTTACTATTAAACTTTTATTTCTCTTATCTAAAAAAAGAACGAGTGACGCAGACAAAAAAAATATTCTATACAACTCTTATTCATTCAAAGTTGAATTATGCAAAACTTTTCTTTCTCTTTTGTTCTACTCTTTTATAAAAAGAGCGAGCGATGAAATAAAAACTTTTCTTTCTTAACATAAATTATATTTAGAGATAAAATTAAATTAGAAATAAATCAAGAATGAGCAAAGCAACTAACAGATTATTCTGGGACTATTTTGATGTTAATGAAAATAATCAACAAAAACAACATTACCAACAGCAATTATCAGATAAACAACACAATATCGCATAATTTTAGGGGTTTTTTATTTTTATTGTTTAGTCGTTCTACATAATAAGTAATTTTAGTTCAAGTTAATATTTCAATATTTACAGTTGCAATAAAAAAAAGAAACGATGTTTAATGTTGAACTTTTAATTTAATTATTTATTTTTTACCTACATTTGTTATAAAAAACTTTCAAACCCCCATTCATTAAAATAATTTGTTTTAAATTTATTTCAAAGTGAATATTCTAACTAATTTTTTTCGCTTGACTTCCCGAACTTCATGCAAAGCAAATTGAGGCGAAATATTGTCTAACCAAATAAAAATGCTGTTACTAATTTTATAAGGGTAATTAATGTAAAACAATTTTTTATCAGAGTCTTGATTGAGATAATAAATATTCATAACTTATAAACGTTAAATATATGGCGCAATAACAATTTATGGTAATGAACCAGCATAAAATATTTGAGATTTTTAATATTATTTTAAATGTTAAAAATAGAAAAAAAAAACTAAACAAATAATCAAAAAAAGTTCGAATAAAAATAAATAAAAATATTTCCAGAGTTTCATTTGTTAAAAGTCTACCGCGATATCAAATACTAAAACTTTTATGAATTAAACGCGCTTCAAAGGAATCGCCAGAGTCTGTAGATTGAGACCTATAATTTAAAGACTCCGAGTTATTGAAAAAAATAGAGAAGGCGAGTTTTTGCTAAAACAACAACATTAGTTTTTCTCGGTATGCATTCATAATTTATTTTTAATCAAAAAAACTTGGTTCAAACCTTTTTTTAACATTATCTTTAATATGAAAACAACATGTGTTGGGAGATTGGGATCCCTTTAACTGTATCCAGCTAAACATCCTTGCCTTGGGGCTCTTGGTTGAGTAAAGGCTAGAGATGGTGTCTCGATAAAAATACATATCTTGGGCAGATGTTAACTGCACCCAGCTACTGTCTTGTAGAAGGCCTCCTAGGCAAAGACTTTAGGGGTAACAGAAAAATTCTGCTAACCAGCCTCGAACCCCTTCTTCATCTATTAGGCTGGCGTAGATGTAACCTGTGTTACATTGTTTCCTGCCTAGGATGATGAATGCTGGATCTCCTTGACTCTACTCATAGAATTTTGCTTATGCCTCCTTGATAATGGCTATGCAACTCTTCCTGTTATCTCCATATTAGAGTACAGCTCTAAAACTCAGTTTAATGGTTCTGAGGCGGGCTGGTAGTAAGGTT